TGCTGTGGAACAGGACAAAAGCCCACTCCCCAGCCCCTCCCCCACTCAACTTTGTCGCCTTTCTCTGCCGTTTCCAATACCACTTGAGCAGGAAATGGGACTCCCACGTAGCAGGAAAGAATTTTGCACTCCCAGATTCAGGATCACACAAATGTGCCACTCTTTTTTTTTTCGTTTTTTAAAAAGATAGAAACATAATTGATTGTACATATTTATGAGGTACAGCATTGACTGTCCGTACTTGTGCACACTATGTGATGATCAAATCAGGGTAGTTGGCATATTTCTCATTACAAAGAGAAGCTCGTCCTTTGTGTCCATTAACCAATCTCTCCCAAAGCCCCCTTCACCTGCTTCCCCCTCTAATAACCACTGTTCTGTTCTCTCTTTCCTTCCTTCTCTCTCTCTCTCTCTCTCTCTCTCTCTCTCTATGCTCCCACTTATAAGTGAGGACATGCATGTATTTCTCTTTCTGTGCTTGGCTTATTTCACTGAACATAATTTTCTCCAAGTTTATCCATGTTGCTGCAAATGGCAGAATTTCATGCTTTTTTATGGCTGAGTAGTTTTCCATTGTGTAGATATACCACATCTTTTCTGTAATAGAACTTAATTATTATTTCAGTCCCCTCTCCCCTACCCCCAGTTCTGCTGAGTGATAGAAGTATCGTCTCAGTCACTTCTCCTGAAGATCATATTTAAATCCCAGGCCTTTGGCACTTGGGTGTTAGGAGATGGCTGGCCCTGGCTGGTTATCTTCTTCATTTCACTGCCACCTGCTGAGACCCTTGGTTCCTTGGCACCTTTCACACCCTTCTCAGTACATGCAGGACATCTGGCTGCTTTCCCTTCTATTCTGGGTAGAATGACTGGACATACTGGTTTGCCTGGGGTGGCCCTGAATGTTGTCCTTGTGTAGTTGTTAATCATGATCCTTTCCATTCTTCAAAGTTTCCTGGTTTGGATGATAAATTATAAGGTCTCTGTCATAGGTTGACTCCTCCCCACCCCCAAGAGACAGATCCTAAGACAAGGATTTTGGGGTGCAAAGCTTATCTGGGAAATGACCCCAAGAGGCAGCTGGAAAGCAGCAGGGATGAATGGTGGGGAAGGGAAGGAGTCAGTACAGGGACCATCACCTGCTGTGGGCAACTGGGGCTCATTTCTGCTGGGAGTCAGCGTAGAACATGCCTTGAAGTTCCGGGGTGTAACAGTCTATTTCTGTCACTTATCACAGAATACTTGAAACTGGATAATTTGTCAAGAGCAATATTTATTGCTTGCAGTTTCAGAGGCCGGGAAGTCCAAAGTCCAGGGAACACCTCTGTTGAGGGCCTTCTTGTTGGTGGGTGGTGTCTATAGCAATGCAGGGTGTCATATGGCAAATGGCTTGAACGAGAGAGAGCTCACCTGCTCACTCGCTGTCCTTAGAAAGCCATCAGAACCACAGCCATTACCACCCACTAAACCATCAACTTACTACTCCATGCATGGATCCATCTATTCAGTAGGGCATGGTCCTCACAATCTAATTGCTTCTTAAAGGCCCCACCTTTCAATGACCATCATAGGATTTCCACCCTCAACACTGTTACAGTGGGGATTAATTCATGAACCTTTGGGGGACACAATTCAACCCATAGCAAAGGATGAGGGAATTGGGGTATTTATCCACCAATTCTCATCGGTCATTACTTGAGGGGCTGCTTGCATGTCGGCAGAGCAGGCTCTAATGACCAGAGCATTGCAGGGGCTTTGGAAGCCATTGGTCTGTATGGATGTTGTGAGTGCTGGGTGTGGTGGCAGTACGGGTAGGGCATTGATGGGATCTGCTACATTCCCCTTCAGTACAGGGGAACTGCGGGCACAGCTTTTAGGTCCATTTCTACTCAATAAATGCTACCA